CAGCATGCTGGCTGGGGAATTCTGGGAGTTGAAGTCCACGCATCTTAAAATTGCCAAGGTTAAGAAACACTGCTCTAGGCAGTCCCTCTATCCCGTGGAGCTTTTTATTTGCATCTCTGCAGGTTCTCTGGACAAAAGAACCTGGAGGGGGGTCAAAAAAGCCAAGATGGTGGTTGTGACCTAGACACCTCCATTTGGGTTCTGCTGTTTGTCTGCTGCTGAGTTGTGGGTGGATCATTGACCCAGGTTTAGCAACAGACTAGGTTAGCTGTACCCCCCGAATGCAGCCATTACTGTAGATATAAAGCTGTACTTTGTACCCATGGAGCAAAGTGGGCATCGTGAATCATCTGATGGAGATCAAAGTCTAGGAGAGGCACTTCAGCCCTGACTGTCTTTCCTTTTTGGGGTTTCAGATGAATTTGCTACGGCTGAGTACATCACCCCCTGCGGTACAGGTAAAGCACGAGCCGCCATCCGCTTAAATGTTTTAATGTTAGATTTATATGTTGCTTTTCCTCCAGTTATTCAAGGTAGGTAGCATACGTAGCATTCCCTCCTAATTTTCCCCACAATGACCCTGTGAGGTAAATTGGGCTGAACAAGAGTGTCTGCTCCAAAGTCACCATTTTGCTCAGCAATCAAGGTTCCAGTCCCAATTGTGGTCGTTAGGCGAGGACTACCTGTACAATTAAAATCAAAGTGAAAGTCAGTATTGTTAGGATCAATTCTTGGTTAAAAGCTAGGAAAAAAGATGATTTTTTTTTTTTTTTGCCATTGTCTGAAATCTCAGGGCTGTGGGGCCAGCACACCTCTCTGGGGTACACATTGCATAGCCCTGGAGCCTCACAAGAGAACAGCTTCTCCTGAGTGTCAAGTGCAGCATCAAAGAATCAGAGAACAGAAGGGTTGGAAGGGGACCTAGAGATCCTCTTGCTGACCCCTTATCTCAGTGTTGTCCAAACTTGGCCACTTTAAAATGAGTGGACTTCGACTCCCAGAATT